CAGCAAGTCTGTCTTCTAGGCTTTCTCTCTACTGTTTTACTCTCTACAATACATATTTAATTACCCCCCCCCAGACATCAGTCTTTAATAGATGAATCCAAAAGAATGAAAATAAACTTACCAAGAGGACAGGGCCTGATCACACACGCTCCTTAAGCAGTTGCTAGGCAGACTCTCCTCTGTCTGCCTTTCCTATGTGTGTTCTTAGAACTGACTGTTTGCAAGTCTATCAGCATCTGTTTATAGACCAGGCGTGCCTGGCATTCACTTATGCAGAGCAGAGCACCACCACCCACTCATTTCCATGAGCCTGTTAGACTGCAGTATGCTTTCTTGTTGTTACTGTTAGTTTCTAATTCTTCCACATGGTAATCAGCAAGTACTGTCTGCATGATGCCAAACTTGGAGGCATTTGAGATGATTTTTGTATTATGTTTTGATTGTGGTATATCCCAGGTAAGTACTAGTCCTTTGAATGAGAATGGCTTCCATAGGCTCATACTTGAAAGTCTGGTTCCCAGCTGGTGAAATGTTTAGGAAGGATTAGGAGGTGTGGCCTTGTTGGAGGATATCTCTCTCTCCCTCTCTCTCTCTCTCTCTCTCTCTCTCTCTCTCTCTCTCTCTCTCCCCCCCCCCTGCAACTTGTGGGTCAGATGTAAGGATCCTCTGTAGAATCAGCCAATGCTCTTAACCACTGACCTACCCCTCCAGAGCTCTCTAGCCTGGGAAAGGCAGATCTTTAGCTTATGATATTATTGAAACTTCTTAAACACATCTGTTTCAAGTTGAATTATCTTTCCCCAAAATTGTCTCAGGAAAGTACTAATTTGCAGTACCCCAGGATATAACCACTTTCTTAGCTAGAACTTCTAATGGAGGTAGTCAGGTGTTAAGAGAGATCAGAAGGGTGAGAGTGAGACCAATCTGGTCTACAAAGCCAGTTCCAGGACAGTCAGGGCTACAAAGAGAGATCCTGTCTCAACAAACCAAAAAGAAAGAAAATAAAATCTGAATCGGTGAGATGGCTGCCTTCTCAGGCTTGGAGACCTGAGTGCTAGCCCTAGAACTCATGTAGAAAGTGGGAACAGGAGCAGATAGCTGTAACCCCGGCACTGGGGAAGCAGGGATAAGATGATCCTAGGAGTGCTGCTTAGCCAGCCTCACCTAACTTAGGAGCTTCAGGCTCCATGAGAGACCTTGTCTTAAAACATAAAGTGAAAACTATAGAGGAAGATATCTGAGGCTGACCTCTGGCCTCCAGGAGCACAAGCATAGCACACACACACAGAGGAAATTGGGTCCCAACATGCACAGAGGGATGATGGCATGCAGGCTCACGAGCAGAGGTCAGGAATGGAGTCTCCCTTGACAGTCTCAGGAGGATCCATCCCTGCTGACACCCTGATCATGGGTGACAATACATTCACAAGTTGGAGTGCCACCTACATCAAATTGCCTCAAAGTGCCAAAATTTATATTGGACTCAGACTCTTCCCCCCTCCCCCCAAGCTCTGAAATAGGGCCCTGGCCTTTCAAACCTAACAAAATTAACCATTTAAGTGTCTGGAAGTTGGCATGGCAGATCTCAAAAATATTATAAGAAAAAATAAGAACAGATACAAACCATACCTGAGAGAGCCCGTTGTGTTTTCTAAACCTCTAGCCTGGAGTTGCCAACACACCAACTGACTTCGAATCACATCTCTTGGTCTCCAAGGTCACTTTGAGTCTAACCTTACAACAAAGAGAAATGGTAAAGGCCAAACGGCCTACTTAGCAAAGTTTTTTCCAAAGACTCTTTTGAAAAGCTGTCTATCCTACAGGCCTTCCAAATCAGACTTCTCCACAGAAACCCACAATCTGCTAATGAGTCTCAGCTGCTCGTCATGTGGCTGGGCCATCATACGGCTGGGCCAAGCAGTCAAGTGATTTCCCCGGGTCAGGCTTCTTAGATCCAATCCAACAGGCTCTCACATAGAGCAGACTTATTAACTGTGCCTGGGACTTTAGGGGGTGGGGAGTGCTGACACTTTTAACTTTCCTCCACCATCAAGAAAGCACATTTGCTTTCTTAACTCCAGTTTCTTTACCAATGCAATGCTTGGTTCAAACAGACGACAGAAGAGCATGTACAAGTGGCCACCCAGAGATAACTCAATCAGCGTCTTCTCCCCTCCCCCCAGGTTTTATGGAGGAAGTGCTTTTAGAAAGAACAATTTGAGTACTATGAGGGGCCTGGATCAGAGGTGTTGACATGTTTGCAGCCAGAACACCAAATAAGCGCAAATAAATGCAGGAAAGATGTGGCCTTCATCTGCTCCAAGCCTTCAGATCCACTGATAAAACATTCTCCAGAGGAGTCTACCCTAAAACCCACTAGTACCTCAAAGTCACCAGGTTCTGCCTGACCTCAGAGTACCTACCTTGCTCTCCTTCCTGCTCCAGACCTGCTTCTCCTCCTCAATCTTCAGTAATTAAGGGTCCTCAGCTGCCCATCCCTCTCCTCCTCTCCGATTTCCAGTTGGCCACATCTTTCCTCCTTTCACCCTCATCTGTTTTAAAATTTGATTTCTGGTCTGGATGACTGTGATTAAACGCTTATTTGGTATTCTTGCTGCAAACATGTCAACATGATCCAGGCCCCCTCATGGTACTCAAGTTGATCTTTCCACAAGCACTTCCTCCATAAAACCTGGGGGTTGGGGGGTGAGGGAAGATCTGCCGTTAAGGCAGTTAAGAACATACACAGCCCATGCAGAACTTGTGAGCTGCTGTATGGGTCCTGGAAATTGAATCCAGGTCCCCTGCAAAAGCATTATGTGCTCTTACACAAAAATAAAAACAAATTATTTAAAATTTTTATTTAGTTGTGTGTGGTTTTATTTATTTATTTTTGTCATTATATTGATCACATGTGTGCAGGTGCCTGAGGAGGTGAGAGGAGGGTTTCAGAACTCTTAGAATTACAGGAGGTTTTGAGTGTCCCAGTATGAAGTGAACCCAGGTTCTCTACAAGAGCAGCGAGCGCTCTTAACTACTGAGTCATCTCTCCAGCCCCAAATAAATAAATAAATGTGATACACACACATTTAAAAATAAAGAACAAAGACAATATGATCAACAAGATGTTTGTCAAAGATCAACCTTTTCATGACAAAAGTTCTCAAGAAATTAGTTATAGGGGGAATCCCCCTTACCACAGCCATGGACACATGAAACACAAAGCTATGCCTACATCATTCTCAGTGCTGAGCTATTGAAAACCTTCAAGACCAAGACATACACACTCACCATTGCCATTCAGCATGGTCCAGAAGGTCACAGCTAGATCAGCCAGGCAAGGAAAAGGAACTAAAGCACCCCAGTAAGAAAGGAGGAGCTGAGGATGGAGCTCACAGCAGAGTGCTTGCCCTGAGTTCAAGTCCCAACACTACAAATAACAAGTAAATAATCTGTCTTTTTTGGCAACATGAGCCTATGGAGAGAGAACCCCAAAGATTGTACACATATGCTCATCTCACACACACACACACACACACACACACACACACACACACACACTCCTATGGAAGCAATTGACTTGGAAGATGGAACCTGGGCACAGCCAAGCACATTTATAATCACATACTCAGGAACCTGAGGTAAGAGAACTGTCATAAGTCTCAGCCTGGCCTGAGACACAGTAAGACCCTGTCTAGACAAAAACAAAAAACAAAAAACAAACAAAAAACAAAAAACAAAAAAAACACAACAAAACAAAACCCAATAAACAGAAGAGAAGGTGGTATTGCAGTTCCTGATTTCAAACTATTACAAAACTAAGGCTAGGCACAGTAGTGCACGCCTTTAGTCCCAGCACCAGGAGGCAGAGGCAGGATCTCTGTGAGTTCAAGGCTGGTCTGGTCTACAAATTGAGTTCCAGGGCTACAGAAAGAAACCCTGTCTCGAAAAAAACAAAAAAGAAAGAAAGAAAACCTAAAACTATTATAAAACTATAGTAATTAAAACAGAACACACTGCCAAAACAAACAAACGAGGTGCAGAGGAGAGAACTCAGAAACAAACTCACACTATGGTTACTTAATTTTCAATGGGAGAGCCAAGTACACAGAGGAAACTAGAGACTCTTCAACAATGTGGAAAAAATTGGCTATACGCAAGCACAGGAGTTAAGCTACACAAGCATCAACTTAACATAGGATGAAGTCTTTTTCCCCCTCCCAACAGCTCTTATTTTATTCAGGTAACAGCCTGATTTATATGGTCCACAACATCCAAATAAGAACTCAAAATAAATCAGATGTTAAAGACTTCAAACATCATCACCATGATCCCATGTCTACCAATGGTCTCTCCGACATAAAGCCACATTCACACCTCAGTGGCCACTGAGACAGGCACCATGGCGGCCTTAACTGGGAGCAGTCTGAAGCTCTCAGGTTTAGCTTAGTGCTTGGAATCTTTTTTTCAGTCTCTAAATAGCTGTAGGAGCTCAGCCAGGTTGAGACAAGCTCATCTTGGGAACAGAATCAAAATGTGGGCAGTCAATGCTTCCATAAGTCAAAGCAATGTTCACCAGTACAGGGGAGGAGTGGGGAGGGGTGAGGTGGAGTGGGGTAGAGTGCGTCTCAAAGTTATCAACGAACTTGGCCATGGTCTAACATGGAAAGTCTCTCACTCCAACCTCAGCTGACTCTGGAATAAAGTAGAGGCCTAAAATTGTAAAAATCCTAGAAGAAACCAGAAAAGGCCAAAAAAAAAATAAATTAATTAAATTAAAAAGACTGGTAGTGGGGCTGGAGAGATGGGCAACAGTTAAGAGCATTGGCTGCTCTTCCAGAGGTTCTGAGTTCAATTCCCAGCAACCACATGGTGATTTGCAACCATCTGTAATGGGATCTGATGCCGTCTTCTGGTTGTCAAGGACAGTGTGCTCATATACATAAAATAAATAAATAAATCTTTTAAAAAAAAAAGAGAGAGAGACTGGTAGATAAGTCTTTAGTTGCAGGATGACTGCTAAGTCAGCCTGGGCTACATAGCAAATCCTAGACCAGTTCAGGCTACACATTGAAAACTCTGTCTCAATATAAAACTAAACCAAAACTTCTATGTGACTTGTCCATGAGAGGAAAGGGTCAGAAGTTGTATGTGTGGGAAAGGTATCTGGGAAAATGAACTAACCACTCTTATCCCCCAATAGAGTGGCTGGCAAGAGACACCACCTAATGGCCACAGCAATATATGTGTGTCATTTAGAGCCTACATGTGTGAGGACTGGCAAAGTAGCAAACTGGGTGACAAGGGAGCTGGAAACAGCTGCAGGGGGAGAGCATGCTGGTTTGTTTTTTAAATATAAGCCTTGTAGAAGAATATTTGTGTAAAATGTTTTTTTAAAGATTTATTTATGTACATGCTTTATCTGCATGTACCCCTGCATGAAGAAGACGGCATCAGGTCCCATTACAGATGGTTGTGAGCCACCATGTAGTTGCTGGGACTTGAACTTGGGACCTCTGGAAGAGAAGCCAAGTGGTCTTAATTGCTGAGCCATCTCTTCATCCCCATTTGTTCATAATCTTGATTTTAAAATTAATTAATGCAAAATAAAATGTGTTCATTTTCCTTGAATGATTTAGGACATCATACTAGACATCCCAAACCAGCCACACTGACTCTCCAAGATTGAGTACTTACTCTGATGGAAGACCTAGGCTCTAGGGGAAGACTGACTGGCTTTGATTCACAAACTTACCACTTTGAGAAAATTACCCAATCATTCTGTCTCACTGTCCCATCTGTGAATCAGGAAAGCTGACAGGATTGTGTTATATGGACTGAATTATGCAATGCCTATAAAGTATTGAAACCGATTTGTGGGTACAGTGAAATGGCTTGCTGGGTACAGGTGACATAGTTAAAGGTCTGAGTTTGAACCCTGGGAATCCCATGGAGGAAGAAGAAAATCAACACTTTCATTCATGTGCTATGGCACAAAAGAGCCTGCACACTTATACACACACATAAAAGTTTTTTTTAAAAATCTGTTTGGCGTGAGGTATATGATTAGCAATAGCCATTGTCACAAAAGCTAATTTGCCTCTGTAACAAAAGGCTCCTTTTCATGTCTTTTATTGGTTTGTATTTCATTTTCCCTTCCCCAACCCATGCTGTCAATCAGCCAGCTGTCCCTCAACACAGTCAATGTGCCCTTCTAGAACAAGCTCTGCCATCTTCCAGCATGCTGTTGCTCAGTGATTGGGGACCAGGTCACCAAATAATCAAGCTTCCTGAGCAGCATGTGGCAGAGAGGGGAAAGGGCACAGAGACATGTCTCAGAGGTCTTGACTGCATCTGATTGGAAGTTTCCTTTTAGCAGTCATCTGTGTGATGAACAGAACCCTGTGGGCTCACCTCCTCCCTGCCACCTGTGGTTCAGGAGGCTGCTGACAAGGCAACCGACTCCCAGTTTGCAAAGATGATCAGATTTAAGTCGATGAAAGGCCATAACCTGAAACCCAATCCTGTCCCTGACTTGGATCTTAATGGTAAAACCAAAGGTGCCTACTATTTTAAAAGGCTGCTGAGCCCTAGATAAGACAGTGTTTCCACAATTTCTCCCACATTTGGTAGTGGTGGTTCCAGCTGCACCCAGGGCAAGTAGCTCTAACTAGGGTGAGGAAACATTCTTAGTAAGAAAACAGGCAACTTGCTCTGTGCACAGGTGCC